TTTATCAGACAAGAGGCTCTTAAGTAGCCTATACTCATGCGCATCCTCGAAATTACTTTGCCACCAATGGAATAAACAGAATGCAGGCGAGCCCAATGCATGCTAACGACTAGCCTGTGTTAGTGTAACACCTTACTGACAATAATAGTAGTTCTAAGAACAGCTCAGATTGCTAAAACTCGCTTCACTTTTCAAAGTTACTTCAAGGTCCTCAAAGATTACTAGGAGATGACGGGCTTGTTGATCGAGATCAGTGTGACTGACCTTTGTGTCGATTCGATCGTTCAATTTGTTTGTTAGTCTACCCTTTGTGTCGATCCCAGCTCTCTTGCAATGTGTTTGTTGTAAAACAAATTGGATGTAATATATTTATGTCTTTTAATGTCAACAACTGACCTTTGGCTCCACAATCGAAAGAGATTTCCTCTGATAGCTTGAAACATGGGACGGATGGTTGATTTCTTCAAACAAGCACTGTTTTTGTTTTCATACATGTATACATTTTAAGACTTTAATACTTCTTTTGAAATCTTTCCATGAATTTTTTTGACACCACAATACATTTTTCAGCAGCAATAAGCTTTTTTTAGTAATCCCCTACCCCCTAGCCCACGTAAAGTTACAGTCATGTGTGTAAATGTATGCAAGCATAAATTTACATGCACTAACGTGACACCAAAAAGGAATGGAGGGCATTTTACACCTCATGCCCTTAGTTGCGCATGCGTAAGAATAGAATGTGACTTGACTTGCAACACGTAACTGATGTCTCTATAAAAGGTGTAATATGAATCTTTCTTTCATCCCAGGGTGAACAAGGAGAAAGAGGCTCTCCGGGAGCTGCTGGTTCTTCTGGGCCCGACGGACCCACTGGTCCCAGGGGAGATAAGGGTGAACCAGGAATACCTGGTGAAACTGTAAGCAACATTTAGAACACTTTGTGAGTTGAATGCGAGTCTTTATTATTTAATAAGAAATAATGAGAAGTGCACACTTTACGAAAATATGTGGATGTCAAAAAAAGCAAAAACACTTACTTCAATCGTAACTCATTCGTTTGCCTAGTTTGAATTTACACGTTTTCACTAAACCTTTTTTGCAGCCACGGAACGAAGAGCCACACGCATTTTTTTTTACTTAACCATAACCTTGCATTTCATCTAGTCACATGGCGTCAATACTAGTCTTAGGACTCACTAGATATAACAACTTAACTTATTCTTTCAGGGTGATCCTGGTCTTAACGCTGCAGATGGAAAAAGAGGAGCTCAGGGACTACAAGTAAGTATTGCTTTATTCTTGTATAAAAGATAACAAGCCTCTTTTTCAGCCAGTCAGAAGTTAGTACAAGTACCAATCGTGATTTTCTCGCTTTTTTTCTGCAAGCCCACACGTTTTCGTGGCGTCGTAAACATTTATTATCGCCAGTTGATTAGAATTTGATTGGCCCATTTGAAATTTTTGCACCTGTTGCAATTTGCGATAAGGTGATTACCCTGGTTTGGCTTTGGCATTATTACAATTATCAATTCAAGACCACTCTGGTCGTGACGGATTGAACACCCAAATAAATTCTAAATTTTAGACTTCTAAGACCAGTTTCGATAAATTTTCCCCCCGTAGGGTTCTAAAGGAGAGCAAGGAGCTGTTGGTGAGGCAGGAACCACAGGAGAAAAGGTAATCAACAAGCTCCTGAAAGAAACCCAGTTTCCTTATTTTTCTGAGTTCGACAGGTTAGTCTGCACCCAGAGGAGGAGCGAATAGTATCCCATGATGCACCTTGTTTTCATGTTATATTATCACTGCGTACGTGACATATCATGATCACTACTCTTCAGCACGCGTGTAATGAACATCGTAGTGCTCGATGTGTATGGTTTCCAAACATGTTTCGGTTCAGCAGCTTCTGCTTTTGAGAATATTGAGTTAGCAGATATTCATTGTGCTTTAAAGAAGAATTTCAACGTTACTTTGAAGGGTTACATGTGTTTCACTGGTCTGTCGAGAACTACTTGTGCGCTCGGTCGCAACTACAAACACAAAGTATGAGACTTGGCAACTGAAAGGTTCACCAGGAGAAACGAAACCATGACTGATCTAAAAAGTGGCTCCAACAAAACAGCCGCTACGCTGTGAAGGTAATTGCCAAAGGAGGATTTATTTCAGCATCGCGCTCAAAGGAGCTCAATTTACAACTGCAGTTACAAATAAAATTTAACCTATCGATGCGACAAACAATCCTCTGAATCTACCCGGTACTGACTCACGCAATCTTCAAGGAAATTTCCTGACCAGAATACTGATCTGTTCTTTTGAATAATTAAAGTTTCTGATATATATTTTTTTCAATTTCTGAGCAGGCTTGTTTAGCGTTGTACCTCGTTGTGCCGCTTGCATGCTGCGTGGCACCTTTGTCTGGGTTCCTATCACACTGAAACACACGGTAATATTTACCGCTCCTTGTTCTAATTAAAATAATTATAGTCAAATTCCTTTTAAAAATAACCACTATGAAAATACAAAGTGATTGCTTCGGCATAAAGTGCTCTTGAAAGCGCCCAACAGATGTAGCCTTCAGCAGGCTTTACACATACAACACATATATTATCACACATGGCGTTGAAATGTGATAAAAGATACGAAATTTCCGCCATCTTTGCTCGATAAAAAAGTCTTCAAAATGTGGGTACTTCTGGGTACTTCTTAGCCTGTACAATATTCAGGACCTCAATTTGCCGGCGTGAGGACCACATTTGGAAGACTTCAACATATAATCCAAAAAATCGTAAATATTCATGACCTTGTTGTGGGTCACTGAACACTTTGTGATAAGAAGACTAAGTGAAACAATGAAAATAAATGTTTCAATGTTGTAATTTCGCTCTTAAGCCATTGCAAATCGGAGAAGTCATGTCAAATAACAAAATAATGCAATTTTCTTACTTTTACTGGAACACAAATGAGAAAAAAGGCGACGAGAAAACGACCTTATTTCACGATGGAATCTGCCATGACTGCGATATTGCGTAATGCATCTGGAAAAATGCATCATGGGATACTATTCGCTCCTCCTCTGGTCTGCACCTAAGTAAGATGCGTCGAGGCGCACATTGTTTGATACACAAGGGATTTAAACCATTCATCCATAAAAGAGCATATTGTTTGCATTAGGGTTGAATTCTGGCGTTAAAGTGCGGGACAAAAATATTTTCGATGGCATCTTTTCTTCTACATCAGGTGAAAAGCTCGTCTCGCTCCCTTTCTCTGGGATCAAAAACATTTTTTGAAGGAGGAAAGAATACACTGACAAGGGTGACTTGAATTACGAACAAAGATTGCGTCTCTACTTAAATTAGGGTTTCTGTGAAGCAGGGTGAGGTTTACAGAGTCAGAACAGAAACCAGGTGACTCAATGAAAAACTATCAGTCCAGCCTACGGAAAGCGAAAAATGAATTCTGACCGAGTCGTTGAGTCAGTCAGCCGCTCATAAAATTTAAATTGGGCCAAGCGAACTTTGGTTGGATTCCCTTGTTTGATCTTTGTGCGTAGTCTTACTATAATAACCTACAGCTTGTAATAGATCAGGTTAACTATTACCAGCTGACAAATGACGTTTTTGGACCATCTACAAAATTTAAAAAAACCTGGCTGAAATAATAACCGAAAATTGAGTATTCGCTTGGACCTTTAACTTGGGCACAAAACAGGGAATTTTTTCAAGCTAATGGAGGTTTGTAATTATCATGTTTACAGGGTGATTTTGGCTACTCTGGTAAGCCTGGACAGATGGGTCGTCCCGGTGCAGAGGTAAACAACTGCTTTTTTCATACTTCATAAAAATTTTTCTCTAAGCAAACTCCCTTAAATAAAGGAACATGAGTGTGGGAAAATTTGGCGAAAATACAGGAAGAAAACTATTTCCCAAGCCCTTTTAACCGCATGCTCACGGCGAAAAAAAAAGTGAAAAAGAAATTTTTATGCTCAACACCTGTCACAACAATGGCTATGCTGATAATTAACCCTTTTATAGGGCTGCGTGCTCTGCCAGTTGTAAACAATATCGCTCGATAGCACTCGGGTGACTGCTCAAGAACCTCGTTAATTATTTTCGGTTCAATTCCCGAGTTTTTAACAATATTTTATTTATTTCATTTTATTTTTATTTTTTATTTTATTTTTTTTTTGACGGCAATATTTCTTTTAGGAATAATAGTGTGGCAAATGGAAAATTGGGGTGTTTTGTTTTTATAACAATGAGAAATTTCTCACATGCCTAATTTCCTGCAAAACTCCACAATAAAATGACCCGTGTATACAAAGAATGAGAGGAAAAGGACATCCGTGACCACCGCGCCACTTCCATCGTTATACTCTTATTGACAATAGCTCTCGACCAATGAGCGCGTGAATATATCTAAAATTATTGTAAAGACGAAGTACTGAAGTGGGTTGAATAGCACTATTGACTAACTTATGGCTATATATACTCACAAACGCGTGCTGGAAAGTGAACATGTACACTTTTGAATTATCTCTGTAATTCCTAAATAGACTCCTTTTTACTTCTTTTTTTCAGGGTGAGGCAGGCGATGCTGGGCAAAATGGAACCCTTGGTCCACCAGGCCCGCAGGTTCGTCGCATTTCATTTTGTTACCACGAAGGATGTTGAGTTACTGTTGCTTTTAGCTGATATTCAGTTTAATTCATTAAAGCTATAAAAGCAGGGAATTTCTACATGTCTGTTTTTATTAGTTATGTGTTTCTTTTAAAGGGTTCTAGAGGGGCACAGGGTCCGCCCGGCCCACAAGGCGATCCAGGACAGATGGTAAGTAATGCGTAGAATAATGGTGGAATTTCATTGCCCAATATACCCATAAATGTGAGTGGATATGTTGCAAAGTTGCTTCCCTTGTAGAAAAGTTCTTCGCAGACTGAGTGTAAATGTTTTAGGCACTAAAGATATGCCTCTTCAGAGCCAGCACTCGCTCTTCTTATTAGAATTTTCAGGATCTTTAAAGGAACTTGTGTTAAGGAGATACGTAGATGGTTTCAGGAAAATGTTGCCGTTCCTTCAGTCAATTTTTTTCTGCAACTGTGTAGGCATAGTCATGTAAAATGCAACCATTGTGTCCCAGATGTGATAAAGGCATCGCCGTTCTATCCGTTAGCTAAGTGGTTCCTCTGTAAGAAGCGGATACCCCATACCTACCGCTACGAGTACTGAAAATTTATCCGTTCCCGTAACTAGTCAAGAAACGGTGTAGGCTCCCACTTCGACGTTCTTGGGGCTTCGTAATGCGTTCCATACCTACTTAAGAACGTTTGTGTGGGAGGCTAGAAATGGTGTACTTGACGTCTCTGATTGTGTTCGTCTCGGAAAAGGTTTGCTGCACTACTGTTTTGGGTGCTGCTATGTACTTTGTATATCTTCAAGCAAAACATAATCCTCTATATTCTGCCTCATTTTTTTGGAATTACAAGGAGAATAATCTGCAAGTGTTGACAACATATTAACAGTTACCGTTTTTACTACCACAGGGGACACCGGGACCCCAAGGAAATCCTGGCACCACTGTAAGTTCATCAGTTTATCTACCATATATTGTTAAGTAAAGAAGACGTGATACGAAGGGTTTTTAGTAAAAGGGAGCATGAACAAGTTGCTAAAAGAATCCTTAACTCCATTGGTCCCCAATCCGGGACATCACTAGTGGGTAGAACGTGATCGCAGGAGTTCAAATTGATCTACTTTTCACCTGCTTGTTGAGAAATTTTGGAATGTTTTTTTTTAGCATGATTTATTGTTGAAAAAACCACAGGGCTCGTACAGGTCATGGAAAACCTGGAAAGATATAAAATTTAAGAATTGTATTTTCAGGGCCTGGAAAGTCATGGAATTTAGTCGAAGGTCCCGGAAAGTCATGGAAAATAAAAGTTATGTTTGGTAGATGTGAAAGCAAGGACAATGCAAAATAGAGATGCCGAGTAATTAAACAGTGCGAACAGCACTTAGTTTAGCGGACACCAGAGTTCATGTCTGTTGAACTGAGTTAAGTCAAAAATTATCCTCAAACAAGAAAAGTTTAGAAAATTTTGTAGAATAACAGTTTGACCTTACGGGTCATGGATAACTTGGAAAGGTCATGGCAAAAGTCATGAAAACTCAAACGACTTTAAAGAGTTCAAAAAAAGTTTGAAACCTGTGTAAATCCTCAAGTGCCACTTCTACTTAATGACCCTTGTCTACCTGCCTGAAATTAACTTTTGTATGTTTTTTTTCCCTGTTACTTTCTAGGGTGATCGTGGAACAACGGTAAGGTTCTTATTATCATCCTCATCAACCAAAACATCACCATTTTTTCTTTTTCTGTTTTCGTTTGTATGTTTTTTTTTTTTTCAACTCAGTTGCCGTTATTTAGTTTGAACATTTTCTATTCTTTCGTTGCATGCGAAAAGAAATAAAAATAAAATCAACTTTTGAGGCAGTTTAGTAAATTTTGAAGTCATATCTATTGATTACCTATAATATTTTGTGCTAGCTGTGAGGTTCAGTCTCCTTCGATTTACTTAAAAATACATGAGCAATATTGATAAAAATAAAACTCCGATTAAATGAACATTTTAACAATTTTTTCTTTTCGATTTTTTTTCAGGGCGCAGAAGGATTACAGGTGTGTTCTTGTTTCACTAACACAAAGTTCATTGGTATTGGGGGATAATGTAAAGGCGAAAAAAAAAACAACAACAACCAAATTTGTCCTTGAACTAGAATTTAGAGCTCGCTTACCTTTTAAACGGAGGTTCGCCCCAGTCCTTGGCGGCGTATTGGCCAGTAGTAGCTAAGAAATTGAGCTAAACTGAATATGCCGAAAGTCAATTGACAGCTGAGACTGGAGCACCTACGCAGGCCCTCTTTACAGAAGGAAACGTTTTATTTGCTTGAATTTAAGCATTCCAGTCTGAAATTCGGTTACTATAGTCGTTATTCAGTGGGCCAATATCTACTCTTGAAATAACTCTAAAGCAAGTGGCAAGAACTTAAAGAAATAATGAAGCGTCACAGACGAAGAGAAACCACAGTGCTTGCGAAAATGAACCTTCTAGAACATCGCAGAGAAATGAGTCCAACTGAGAAATTACAAAAATAATAAAAAATACACTACGAAGTGCCCGGGAGTTACGGCACTAGAGGCCTTCTGTTGATAAAATACGGTAGGTTTCGCATTGATACGATTTGTTATTGGTTGAAAAAACCTCGCGCCGATTTTTTTCAGCCAATCTTGAGTTTTCACACTCGTTAACCTGCGCTTGCTGTCAGTTGCATGTAATCGCTGAGACATTTTATTGCTTCATCAATGGTATTGTATTGGACTGAGTTATAAGTTTGGATTTCATGTCTTGACACCCGTATTAAAGAGTATAGTACATCGAGTGTCATTTTATTAACAAACACGTTTTTTTTTAGGGACCTCCTGGACCACCCGGACCTCCCGGCCCTCCGGTAATTCCAATACATAAGGGATTGTAGTTTTTCAAACTTGATCGCTATTAATCCAACTCGCTTAATTTGTCAGGTGTTAGCGAATTGTTCTTGGAATGAATTCTTTGAGACCGCATTTAACTGAAGTAACAAAGAAAAAGGAACATTTGTCAGCAAGTGTTTACTTATATATTCTATAAAAAATGCCGCATTGGGGAATTTACGCCGTAGTGTGCATTGACAGCAGAGAAATGATCCAAGTGCACACTTGATATAAGGGAGCTTAAGCAACAACGACGGCGACGGCCACGAAAACGTCACTTATAAAGTGAATTCACACTACTTCACACTTTACCACGTTTATTCCATCTCGTTTAATTCGTCAAATGTTGGCAAATTATGTCAAAGTTGAATTCCAAACGACTGCATCACATCTCAGGAAAAGAAAAAGAAAGTTTTTGTCTTGTGTTCATCTCCTCGACAAAACGTGAAATTAGGCATTTTCAAGTCGTAGTGGTGCAACGAAGGTTAAGAAATGTACAAAAAAGCGTGATGCACGTGCAAAGTTGTTTTTTTGCAAATATAAACCATTGCTTTTTTGCCGTTCTCGTTGCCGTCGCCGTCGCCGTCGTCGTTGCTTATACTCCCTATAGTTACTTATCAGCACCGTCATCATCGTGGTTACGTAAACCCCCTGCTATATATTTTGGTACGCCTTAAGATGGAGAAAATGTAAAAGAGGACAGGTCCCGAATTTTGTCATCTGTCTTTTTCTGAACCAAAGTTTAATCTTCACAATCGTGTATCATCTTCGTGATGAAGCTTTGAATGTATGGACAAAATGCTTCGCCTTACCACTTTGAGCTCGCGCGTATATTAGCGAAAATAAGACAACAACAAAAAGCAGTAAAACACCGAGATCACTATTTTTAGTTGATTGGGTACCTTATTTTTTTTTGTTTTGCTTTTTTCCTTTAGGGCACTCCTGGAAGCTACCTTGTTAGTTCCATGGTAGGCGTTTTATTTGTTTCGTCTCAAGGAATTTCTGTAAAAATTCTTTGTCAGACAAGCTGACGTGACAGAAAAACATATATACACGTTGTCAGCGCTATCACTGTCATCATCATTCTCATCATTATCATCACATCATCATCATCAAATTATTGCCAGACGAAGTCTCGAGAGACAAAGCTTGTGCGCTTTTGTCAATCGGTGGTGTTGCTGCAACGTCTTAAGTGACTGTGCAGGCCAATGCACGAGTGGCAGTCCCTACTGCACACGGCGCAGATGAAGCTTGAGGAGGCCGGGCAGAGTTGAGCTGTTTTTGAGGCGAGCGCGCTTTTCTTCATCTTTCAGGTGACTTTTTTTGTCAGCTTTCTTAATTACCTCATTCTTTGACCGTCTCCAGCAGGCACGATGACACGCGGCATCTTCTGAGTTGTTTGGATGAATTTCGCATGCTTTGAGGTCACGTTTGCTCGCGTCCTTGAACCGCAGAACAAGGCGCCCCACTTGCCTGACCCCTGTCGTCAATTGTCAGTTTAGGTCTTCCTTGGGGAGGCGTCCATCATCCATTGGATAAGTATGCCCGAGCTATCTCAGGCGGCGCTGACTGAGAATGGAGTACATGCTTGGGGTTTCAGCACGTGACAGCGTTTCACTGTTGGTGGTGTGGTCTTGCCACTTGACGCGGAGGATACCGGCCTGAGACATCGCAGATAGAAAGTGTTCAAGCGATGTTTCTGTCTTGTGTAGGTGGTCTAAGTTTCACTGCCATGGAACAACTTGCTGAGAACGCATGCTTGGTACATGAGCATTTTGGTTCTTTCCGTCAGGTATTTGTTTCCCCAGGCTCTCTTGGTCAATTTAGACATGGTGTCGGTGGCTCTTCGGGAGATTTCTGAGTCTTGCTCATGTTAATGGAGACAGTTGAACCGAGGTAGGTGAATTTGTCGACTGCCTCGAGAGTGTGGTCGCCGATTTTGATTTCAGGGGCTTGGCTGACATCCTAGGCACTCACATTGGTTTTCTTGAGACTGATTACGAGGCCAAAGTTTTCACATGCGCTGGCGAATTTGTTGATGAGCCTTTGCAATGTTGCCTCGGTAAGCATTGTCAGCGAAGAGCATTTCACTTGCAAAAGCAGTTTTGACTTTGGTCTTGGCGCAGAGACGAGCCAGGTTGAAGAGTTTTGCCTCGGTACTGGTATGAAGGTACACACCGTCAGTGGAGGAGTCAAAGGGATAGGACAGGAGGAGAGAGAGGAGAAGATTCCAAAGAGTGTCGGGGCTATGACACGGCCCTGATAGGAAAAGGATCTGGAATAAATCCTTCAAAGTATACGGTACATTTAATGATGATCAGTAACCTTCCATCATCATCACATAATTATCAACAAAACAACAACAACAGCAACAGCACTCTGACATTAACAAATGACACAATGTTTAATCCTGTCTTTTTTGTTGTCATCGTCATCATCATCATCATCATTATTACTATTGTTATTATATTATTATTATTATCATTATTATTATTATTAATATCGTTCTCTGTTTTTCACTTGTAGCTGACAGGAAGCGCCGACAAGGGTCCCCCGCCGAACTATCGATTGTATTCCAGTTCAAAGGTAATATTAATCTAGCAAAGCAATGAAGCAAATAAATAAACAAATAATTAAAGTAGACTTTATGCGTGATTTTCATGGTCACCGCGTATTCATAGCCGATGGTGCGAAGCGAGTTTTCTCGTTTTCTTTCTGTGCTAGATAGAAATAATCACAGG